TCAGCATTTGTAGTTCCTATCTACCAGACACCAAACTTACTGATAGTCTATACTTCTCGTTGATCTCCTGGTAGTCCTCCCCAGCAAGCATATCACAAAAGTGCCGGATAGAAGGATAATGCACGATGGATATCTCATTCCACCAATCCTCCTCCCTTCGGTCCCAATCTCCTCTCGAGTCCACAGCATCCGCAGTTCCAGACTTTGGCTTTACCACATTACCCACAATCTTTGCATCTCCGCCTCTCTTTCCGGCCACAGGAATGAAAGACTGGCCATATTGGTAGTAGCTCTTCTTCCCATTTGGGTGGTTGAAATGAAGCAGGTTGAGCATTGTGACGGGTCCCGAGTGGTGCGGTGTAAGCTTATCCATAAAAGCAAGGAGATCGGGCGAGAGCTCCAGGCTTTGGGAAGTTGGTTTGCTGCGTGCCTGGTCTAAGGATCCAGTCAATGGGACGGATGAAGCAGTGCGCTTGAGGGATTCGTCTCGTGAGGCGTAGGTGGCGAGAAGTTTGGAAGGTATTCCCACTGTTACACGGTACTGGGACTTGATCTGAGATTGAAGAGTAGAGGGGATCGGAGGTACATCTGTGGGCGTTTGGATGAGAACGAGGAGATCCCATGGCGTCTTGGTTAGGATATCCTGGTCGAGTATCGTGGGACGAATCACGGCATGTCGCGGTCTAGAGCTTACGATCACGTTGCGAGAGGAGCGGAGAGACTTGAGAAAGGCATTTGTGTCCGTATTGATCGCAAGCAAGTAGAGTGATGCAACTGGCATATTGGGCTGTAAGTTGTATAGAGGCCGAAATAAAGAATCCAGTGTTATCTATAGGGAGTTTTAGTGTCACCCAAGATGCTGGTCTCAAATGATGCAGCGTAGACCAGGACGTCGTCGCCTACTATCAGAATATGTCTGTAATTCAAAGCAAGGAGACACAGAGTTATACGTGAATTTTAGATTGATGATAATCCTTCAGGAAGAGAGTGATAGTGAGGAGAGACGCGGAGATGGCGGAGATGCCTCGGTTGTCGGTCCCCCCGCACGTCACGTGGCTCCCCACATTTCCTGCATCATCCCTTTGGAGATGTGCAGACTACACGCAAGTTTATCCGTGACAGAAACCACTTCGGGATGCCGACATCATCAGTACTTTACAATTAAGGGCGATTGCATCAGCTTGTCATTGTATTATATATCAGTTCTCTAGGAAGAAACAGACTATGTCATGCCTTCTAAGGACGGATCTTTCCGAAAGGAGCTATGACGCAGCGGTGGACGGCTCACTGGGAGCTATTACGTCTCGGAGAAACGACCTATGATGGCATGACCGGCAGTTAATAGGTCATGGAAGCCGCAGTTGCATAGGAACTGTGTCGGTCTGGCATCGGAGCCATGCCGTGAAGAGAGATCTTCTCCGGGATTCCAGCATTCGGGATGGCTTCTCCGAATGGCGGAGATGCGAATAGCCTAATTTCCTCCTCAACTACCCCGCATCTCCAGTTTTTGGCCGCGTGCGGAACAGACTTTATCCTCCACTACCATTGAACACAAACAATGTTGGTTTCGCATAAATACCTCAGAGCCATGGAACTCCGTTGGCGCAACAAAACATCTTCACTGGCGCAATGAGGAGCCGTACGTTCATCACAACCCTGGGCTTGCTGTACAGCTGTGTGCCAGCAGAGGCTAGTCTCACTATACTCTTCCAGAATGACGGCAACTGGACAACACATGCTGAAAAGCCCAGCGCCCTCTTCGTCAACAATGCCTTGGCCTACCAAGATGCGCAGGCAACCTGTGCGCAGTACAATGAATCACTTCTTAGTTGCGAAGAATATCCAGACTTTCATTATTCCTTCACATACCAACAATATTTGAAGAACATTGGCTCTGACCAGCTCTTCTGGTCTTCTTGCAGCTCAGACCGTCCGACGTCTTGGAATGGAGAATTAGTCAATACCTCCTCGACTGCAGGTCTTCCCTTCCTATGCTCTAATTCCGCTGGGTTCGTCAATCAAGTGGATACCGATTATTCTCACTTTCCAAGAGTCAACGCCAGCGCCAATGGAGTCACTTTTGAGGGTCTGCGCGACCATATGGCATTTCGATTCATGGGGATCCCCTTCGCCCAGCCTCCTGTGGGAGAGCTACGCTTCAAGTACGCCCATGAATGGGCTCAGAGTTCCTACGTCAACGCCACCAGATACGGCCCTGCATGTATCCAATCTGGCTGGTATGACGGAAACAGTTACGGCCTCAACCCCTGGGGAAATAGCGAGGACTGCTTGCACCTGAACGTCTACACCCCATCCCTTCCATCATCCAAAGATAAAACCAACTCCTCCAGGCCAGTCATGCTTTGGATCCACGGTGGCGGCGAGACCTCAGGAACCGGTGCCGACTCCACCTTCGACGGCGACAGCTTCGTCAGCCGCAACGACGTCGTCCTAGTCACCATAAACTACCGCCTCAACATCTTCGGCTACCTGAGCCTCGATGACTCCACCATCCCTGGCAACTATCAACTTACTGATAAGATTGAGGCTCTCAAATGGGTCCAGAAATACATCCGAGCCTTTGGCGGAGACCCCAACAATGTGACCATCTTCGGTCAATCCGCCGGTGCTTCGTCCGTCATTGATCTCCTCACTACCCCTAAAGCCAACGGCCTCTTCCAGAACGCCATCGGCCAGTCCATCGCCGGCCACGTCGAGACCTCCAACGCTTCAGCTGCTGCTATTCTCCCTTACATTCAGCCCCTCTGCGGTAGCACTACAGGAACTCAGCGCCTCAATTGCCTGCAATCCCTTCCGGCTGAAATCCTCCTGAACATCAGCTCCTCCGTAACCTGGGACACCGTCATCGACAACCGCTACATCTTCGATTACCCACTCACCCAGATCGCTAAAGGCGTGATTAACAAAGTCAACTTTATTACCGGCTTCATGCCCGAGGAGGCGCAATCTATTCTCCAAACCACCATTTCTCCCAACGCTACAAATTTCACCACCACCCTCCAAACCCTCGTCAGCAGCGGCTCCATCACAAAGTCCGAAGAGGACGCTGTGCTCTCCTCCGGCCTCTGGAGAAATTATTCCACCCCCTACAACGCAAGCATTCACGTTGACTCCCCCGCCGGCATGACCTGCTACTCCAAGGAATTTGCCTCCGTCGGCGCAGCATCCCACGCATACAACAGCCTCTACGTGTACCTGCACCAGCGCGCCTACGGCCTAAACTACTATGACTGGTACGATCTCTGCACGTACCCCGTTGGCAAGCCCGACACACCTTACTACAAATGTCACTCCGGAGATCTATACGAGGTGTTCGGCACGTACTATCTGTTCGATTTGCCAATCCGTGCGCCGGAGGATATCTATTATACCAACATGGTACAGGATATGTGGGCAGCCTTTGCCAGACGCGGAGATCCGAATGTTGATGAGGGGTATCTTCGCGCAAGGGGATACTTCAGTAGCCTGAAATTAATGGAAAGGTGGCAGTGGGATGAGTTTACGAAGGGAAGTGGAAGCAAGAACGTGGCTAATCTGCAGTACCCCGTGCCATTTTACTCGGAATTGCCGTATATGGAAGAGTGTGCTGTTTTGGGCCTGGAACATACCAATTAGAGAGATATAGTGTATTTTGTTAGATATGATGTACAGATATTCACTCTACTTAGGCATTGTAACTTCATATACAGGCGATGACTAGTCGTTCGCTCTCTCTTTCCCAGGCCTTTGAAAGCAAAGCTGTACTTATGTTATTGTGGGCGTCATGGACCCCGTGGACCCGCCTATCCTACCGGTGCAAATAGAAAATCGATATGTTAAGCTAGAGCAAGGTAATGCTCCACACATTCTACCGTGTGCTCCCCGATTTTCCAGGACTCAGAAAAGGAACCAAAAGAACAAGGCTTATACCTGGAATTGGGGTACCAGAGGGTTACATGGACCTGTTTGACAGGAGGAAGGACGCCTCAGCTGATGGGATGTGCTCTTTGTCGAAGATCGGGCAAAAACAGGCCGGGGAATGTTCGAAGATATGTGTGGAGGCTGAGGCTTTAGCCTAACATGAGTTGAAGGAATCCAAATGTTTATGTCTCACGAAAGGACAGTTATGAGATTAGTTATGCTGTCGCTGATTTGTGTTGGTAGTCTATGATATCTTTGCGGTCGTCTCCACTTGGGCTTTCAAGCAACTACTATGTCTCTTCCCCAAAATAAGGTCAAGTCGTAAGATAAGCATCAGTAGCTAGTATACACTGTCAATATCTCAGCTATCTAAATCGAAGACCCTTGGAAGGTTTCGCCTCTCGAGACTCTCCTATACCATTCCATAACCACCCATATTAACAAAAACCTCAAAACTCCCAGCATTAGAATGCCACCATATCTCCGTCTGCAAAACCCTAGTGCTTTATTCAATAATGCTTCCATATACATGTAGGCAGTGATCAGTCCATTTCATCTTCCTTACCTCCAATTCTCATATTCAATCGAAGATGACTATATTCCCTCCTTCATCGACATCACCGAGGAGACTGGCATATTCATTACTCCCTGATACTAGCACTCCTGGACTATTCACAAAACCATGCTCTCAATGAAGCTGCTCGATCAACTTCTTACCTGTATTCATCATCTAGATAGTCGTTCTTCACCAGCTTGCTATCACCATCGCATCCAGTAGCCCTCGCCCTTGGGGTATAAAAATCTCTCTCATTTCTAATCTCAATTTCTTTCTTCTTCTCATCTCTAACGCCTTCTTATATTTTCTTATATTTCAAGCTTCTCTCTTTTGATCAAGAACTAAGAAGAATAAGCAACAATAAAAGTAAAGATTCGTTATTTTCTATGTACATACAATCAATACTAGCATATAGCGAGCCTTGCCCTAACATCGATTGACGGCTTAGCCTAAGGACTGAGCCTAGGGCACCAACTATATGTTGGCAGATAGCAAAATCACAGGTAAGAGTTTTCACGCAGACGTTTTGATATATCTTCTTCAGTTGCCTATCTTGGCGGGAGTTGTTATCTGATAGACTTTCTCGTGTCGCTTATGCTGTTTGAGTCAATCGATTGAGAACCAGACGCATGCACATATAAGGGTTACGTTATACTAAAAGCTAACGTCATAGATGTACATGAATCTGTATTACTTCATGTTGTTATGTCCAACAGGGCCTAAGGATCCCAAGATGGTCCATCGTGTGACTCCTCTTTCGAGGTTTTTCACGCCCTTAGAAGAAGGAAAGGCAAAACAGGGTTAAAAAGCCACATCAGAACAAAGCAGTAAGCGCTTGTTTTCACAAACAAATTGAGCGTATACAGCCTTATATTTACGATAGCTACAATGGCTCCCGGGAAGAAAAGTCTTATAGCTTAAATGTGGATAAACCTATATGAATGATCTTCCAGATCATCTTCTGGGGAAAGGCCTTTCTCGAGGTGGAAAAATCAGAAGGTAAGTTCTTTCTAATACTCTATCTACAACAGCTGCCATCTGGTGTTCTTGTAACCTCGTGATGTATGTATCCTATCCTTCTTTTATGTACAGCATGATGAAGTCCAAATTCCAGTCATTCGACCATTGAGGATCTTCTCTATTGGATGTCTACTTCCCTTCTAACGCCATAACTGTATAAAGATATATCTTTCCAAACCTCGACGAAAACAATCGGTTTTTTTACTTGTTTTTAAGACAATTAAAAGGTTATTTTTCTCGAAATGCCCTCCTCAAAGGCCCAAAAGGTCAAATAGATTAAGAATCAACCCAGCATCAATGGCTACTTCAAGAGGAAGCAGGATGAGGTCAGGGACCCCATTCCAGCTACATCTCGTCCGATCAAACGTCACGAGGTCTGTGACCTTAATTATGGCTCGGATGGGGATTGCAGGGGTTGCAAGGATAGTGTCCAGAAAGTACAGCTGCTATCAGGTAGGTGAAAGTGTTCGCAAGATGGACACTGCCCAGAGGGCCTCAGCTTCACGCCTGGAGTACGAGGATAGTGAGACGGAAAGTTTCAGTAACGCGTACTATAGTTCAGATGAATACCTTGACCTCATCATTGACTGGAACTGGACGTTGTCAACGAAGAAGTTGGATACAATGAGTACATTGTCGGGTCAGACGACGTCGATGGTGAGGCTATAATCGATGAAATCATAGGTGATTGATTCAACTACTAGCCTTGCTGTACCTGTCAATACGGACACAGTCTTCGCAGATATTCTGCATAGTCTACTTGTCTGTTTAATGCCATAAGCAATCTAGTAAGGATGTTACTTTCATGCTTGAGGATTTCAAGCCAATAAAGTTGGTTATTGGAGACTCCTTGATAGATTGTCAATGGACTTTATTCTGCCGTAATTCCTAGAGGGAATTTCAAAGGAAGCCTTATGTTATCAGAGAACTAAACGGGAATTGCAATTAGTTGACTGTGATGTCCCTTTCTCTTGTCGAAGGCAACAAGCGACAAGAGGTCTATGCAAACTTTGCAACAGGTGGTATAGATCACCCGAACAAAGCTGGTTGCGATACTTATATCGGTGCAACTAATTAATCAATTTCAGCGTCCAATATCGCAGCACATGGAAATGACAAGAGGATACTCGTCCAACCAGAATGCTAAAACCTTGCATTACCGGCAAATTAGTCGGAAGGATGTTCAGACTAACTTATGGGAATCTTTGAACGGTCTTTAGTATTCCAATACAACGAGCGATATCTATTGATACTTGAGAGTACATTCATGATATATAACAGTACATACCGTTTCCCAGCTATGCTTACTTCAAAGTGGGCTACCGAATCCTTATATGATGTATTAATGGTGTTTCTTCGAGAATGTCTAGAACTCCTATCTGTGACATAGTGTGGAATGAAAGCTTGGCTCTTATACCAAGAATTCTATGATGAACGTGCAAGGGTATGGTCTCCGTGCGTTAATTCAGCATATAGGGCTGGGATATATGTCAACTCTTTGCTTTCAGATGAGAGTATCTCACGAGCTGAATATCAGAATGCTGGGATCTTCTCGACTAGCCTCTGTGGCTACGATGAAGTAAAGGATTATTAGGCCAAGCACGGTGGCGCGAGCTGCTCGGCAGATTATCATTACAGGAAGGGGACTGGTCCTTGCACATCAAATCAAGGGAGCTTCGGGGGGATTTGGGAGTGTTAGATAATAATGGAGCAAGCTGTCTTCTATGGGTTGCACTAACTTACCTTAATCGGAGATTTACATTATATGAACTGAATTTCGTGCTATGCCAGCCCTTCATTAATCCTTTCCCAGGCCACCGACAACTCTTCGTAGACATTCAGCCGTTTTTCGACGTAAATACACCGTGATATCAGATCAGGACCTACGATATTCAAATTGGATTTGATAGCTCCATGTTTGCTCCAGTTTGTCAGTGGAACAGATGGAAAGTGGCTCCCGTAGATTAATATTTCAATATCGTAGTCTTAGACTTCCGGTCGATCATGCTATAATGCCACGTCACCGTCATAGGATATAGATGCTGGTGATCTTCAACTTCAACTGTGTCAATGATTCACAATGAAGATTCCATGCAGCAACATCGTGGCATATCTTCATCCTGGTCTGCGGACGGTATCTATGAAGTTGATGCAGAAACAATCAGGTGGGTTAAAATAGAGACAGTGTTCCGACCTCTGGTCCATTATATCTAGGCGACACGTATATAAATCGATGTAGAAAAAGCACTGACGCCTGCGACTGTAGGACTCAAGAAGTCTCTGACTGGTTAGAATTATATCTGTTAATATTGATAGAGATCGATCAGAATTTTGCTCCAACTTACAGGGTTGTAATCGCATGAGTCGTTTCAAGATTTGTGTATGCTTCCAAGCCTCACTTCATCGAGGAGTAGAAGAATCTCCGGGTGACCCATTCGAGAGATCTGAGAGTCGTGTCTGAGCACTGAAAAGAGAAGTTATTTAACAAGACGTGTTGGTGACTGTCGGTTGAATCAAGGTGGTCAGATATAGAATTGCACAGAAAAGAGCCGGGCTCGTATCCATTCGAGGCATCCGAAGGGATCGGTAGAACCGTAATCACAAATCTGGAGAGTAAAGAAAGAGGATGAAGGATATGAGGCTGAAGGGAGAGGCCACGAAAGGCAGGGAGTCAGGTGATTTGCGTCTTCTTGCATCTCAATCTTTCGTCTCAGCTACTACGATCACCACCACCACCACCATCACCATCACCATCACCATCACTACTACTACTACTACTACTACTACTACTACTATGCCTGGTAAGTACTACCTCAGAAGATCCCACATCATCTAATACTTATCAACCCGTACTTACTGTCTCCTTTTTAGCCAACGAAGTGAGTACACTCCCAAATGCCTCGTATCCATATTCCCCTCACTTCCAGTCATTGACGGCGGTAATTATTCGAGTATATAACATCACTCACTATCCTTCATCCTTCTCACCGCAGTATTTCTCACTTGTCATATACTTGCCCCTGATGCTGACCGATATTCATTGTAGGAGCAGCAGCAGCAGCAGCAGCAACAGACCGGGCCGGGGCCCGCCGAAATCGTTAGTACATGATATTATGTCTTCCATAATGATATGTTCTAATGATATACACATAGACCCGGAGGAGGCCGCCGCCAAGGCGAAGAGGCGACGGGAGCTGATGGAGCAGTTTTTTCGCCTGGAAGATGATTATATACGTCACCACCTCGACCTCGAGGAAAGAGAGGTGTATTGGAGGGAGAGGGAGGAGAAGCTGAAGAAGGAGCTGGAGGCCACTCAGGCATACCTCCGCCATATTCAAGAGGAGCTGGGGGAGTTGGAGGGGGTTACCGACGAGGACGAGGATGAAGACAACTAAATCTGAGAATTTCTTTTCCTTTCTTAATTTACTTCGAAACTTCCTGAGTAGATGTAGTCAGTCAAATTCCAAATCTAGACGTAGCAAGACCCATTCGAACTACGAAGCCCGTAAGGATGTCCAACAGCCACTATTACAGTGATGCCTCCGTCCCCGAGACGGCCGCGGCACTGGAGCACCTTGCCCGTTGTCAGGTTCAACCATGCGGATAGCATCGCGCCGTATAATGGCGTGGTTGCGGTGACTGCTAACCCTCAGGTTGTTTCGGAGGAGGAGGTACAGGATCCTGCGTTTCGGAAAATCATGGAGCAGTGTGAAAATGTTGCGGAGCTGATTGGGGCTACAGCTCCGATTCGAGTGGATATACGACGGTTCAGCAAGGGATCTCCTTTCGCGCTCTTTGACATTAACATGAAGCCGGTAAGTCTGCTACGTTGTTTGTCTTGTATTGGGATACTTACGTGAGGATTGCTACAGAATTTGACTGGCCCCGGGCGTCCCGGGCGCGAAGATCGAGCAAGTTTGACTGCTCTGGCAGCGGCAGCTCTTGGCTGGGACTATGGGACTTTGCTGGAGAATATTCTACGGACGGCTCAGCCTTTCGATGTCTTTCGCAGTTATTGCAGTCCTTTAAAATAGTCGTAGATGGGTATTTTGAGGAGGACATATGTATATATTCGGACCTTATTATAATATAATGAGTGTGGCTAAGAAATTAATTGAATGAGACGCTTGATGTAGAATGTAGAGATGACGTAGACAATCTAGGTATGCCACAATTATAATAATTCAATTTTTAACTAAGGATATAATACGACTTCACGTTAGGGTGAAACACCTGTATAATATTGTTTGAAATTATTAGGTGTATTCGGACTTATACAAAATCACTATTCTTGGGTTAATTCTTGATACCATACAATTCCGACAGCCGCGTAATTTTGAAGTCATACGGAAATACTCCGCTGTTGTCAATCACCTTTCACGTTCCTCGGTTGGCCACTTCAAAAGAGATTAAACTGAACGCAGTGCAGCTTTTGTAGCAGGGTAAAACCCTTTGGCTGACCGTGCTTAGATGTGGTCATCTTGGAACAAATGAGTTCCAAGAAAGAGCAGCTCTTGGTGACAGATCATTATGTATAAAATAATTTATCCATGCTATCCGAAGGTTTGACTTCCATAAGGATTACCAGTTCTTATCCCATGGAAATAGTCCCTTGTTTTCCTCATACTTGCCTCCTACCGGCCTATACATCGGCCACCACACAAATGGCAGCAACAACTCGTTCAACTCGTTACGCTTTGGAGTTTCGGGGAAGCTCGCTAGCGTGAATTCTCGTTGTCTCCCTTCTACAAAGCCCCATTTGCTGTATAGCTCACGCCCGATTTCCGTAGCATCTATGTAAGACTCCAGGTTCTTCTCTTCGGCCTTCTGAACACCCCACTCCATCAACATGTTGCCCACACCACGCCGTCGGTAGGTAGGATGCGTGAAGCAGATATCCAGGACTGAACACGTAATTGGATTATTAGTTATCTTGTCGGTAGAAGAAGCTACAAGAGGAGCAGGGAAACGAACAGACATGCGGTTTGTTCATGTATGTCATTCGCGGAACGAGGAACTGCCCCATAAGTGCATTGGCAATATTACGGGCCTCGCCTGTAGGCCACCAATTGCACTCCTCGTCGGAAGTGACGGTATAAGGGTTGGTCTCGTAAATGTGCCAGCAGGCAGCGCCAACGATTTTGCCAGACTCCACATCGATCACCTTAATCCATTGGCTGGAGGGGTCGGAGCGGTGCCAGTGTATTTGGCGCTTGACGGCATCCTGAATGGCTGCGTCGCGGGCAGTAGGTGAAGAGCCCTGGATGGGAAAGAAGAGATTTTTGAGGTTGCATTGCGGATTCTCATAGGCATCAAATTCACATCGGACGAGTTCGTCGAATTCGGAGTCCGAAGCCACTACGGTCAGCTTGAAGGGCATTTTGTAAGACCGAAGTTGTCCAAAAAATCAGAGGATTTCTCTTTTCCTCGATGCTGTATGTCAGTGTTAGCCCTAAGGAGCAAAATATGGGGGATACGTCGTACGAAGTCGTTTTAGGGAGAGGGCGAGGGCGAGGCGCGGGGTAAATCAGTCTTTCTGGGTAACACTAGACGTTGCCAAGTGCGGTGTTGGATTGGGTTTTCTGTTGACCCGATTGCTGAGATAATAACGAGCTGGGATCACATATCTACTTGATTTTCTAGGACGGTCGATGGCCTACTCTTTCCGTTTTAGTGCTCACTCTTCGCTGCTTTTTGCTTACTGAGTAGATCTGAGTCACGCCCTGAGTAGTTTGAGGTGATCACGAAGCATAAAGTAAGTAGAAGACTGAGTATTCTAAATAAGTAATCTTAATAAATTATATTCTAACTAATAATTATTTTCTTGCCCGCTTCTCTACTTATAGTCTACTTTTTTCTATTGTACTTCTTTAAAATCCAATACTACCACCAGATCTCTTTCTCTAGTAGAAAAATTGTCGGATGGCCGTGGTGGAACTAAGCCTAAAAGAGAAGGCGGTCTAGCACCACTAGGCCAAATGGGGTATGATCTTCCCTAAGCAGAAATATGTGGGTCTGGTCAGATGACACTAGTCCCAATTAGGAAACTAGATATCAAAATAATAAAGGTAAATACAATTGACAAACTAGTCAAAGGGAAGCAAACCACCTTCCTAAATAGGAAATAAATGGATCCTAAGATAGGAAGTGAATAGAATGGCTTGACTTAAGAAAAATCAGCTAGAGATGAAAAGATCCTATTTATACTTAATTTACTAATAATTTAGATTATTAATTTTAATTATCAGATAAAAAAAGCGGGGTTAAAAATAGAATTAAAAGCAGAGATAAAGATAATAAATAATTAAAATAATAATTATAATATCAAGAAACACGAGAATTCACATATAAAAGTAATTATATAATAATTTAAAAGAGTCTGGTCTATATATTTTTTTTCAAACTAGAAACTCCATATAATTTATATAGAAAATATAATTGATCTGGATTTTTCTGGATTTATTGATTTTTAATAATTTAATAAGAAATGAATTAGTAATAGAATAGGTTTACCAGCCGACATTTTCTATTTAGGAAAGTGGTTTGCTTCCCTTTGACTAGTTTAGCAATTGTATTTATCTTTATTATTTTGATATCTAGTTTTCTAATTGGGACTAGTGTCATCTGACCAGACCCACATATTTCTGCTTAGGGAAGATCATACCCCATTTGGCCTAGTGGTGCTAGACCGCCTTCTCTTTTAGGCTTAGTGCCACTACCGCTATCCGACAGGAAATAAGTGGATCCTAAGATAGAAAGTGAATGAAATAGCTTGACTTATTTAGAGAAGATCAGTTAGAGATAAAAAAGCTCTATTTATACTTAATTTACTAATAATTTAGATTATTAATTTTTGATCATCAGACAAAGAAAATAGAATTAAAAGTAAGATTAAAAACAGAAACAAAGACAGTAAATAATTAAAATAATAATTATAATATCAAGAAATACAAGGATTCACATATAAAAGTAATTATATAATAATTTAAAAGGGTCTGGTCTATATTTTTTCTTTTAAACTAAAAACTCTATATAATTTATATGGAAAATATAGTTAATCTGGATTTTTCTAGATTTATTAATTTTTAATAATTTAATAAGAATTGAATTAGTAATAGAATAGGTTTACCAGCCAACAGATCCTTCTCTACTAGATTAAGGTTTATTATTTTCTATAATAGCTATTATAAGAAAAGTTACCAAAGATGAGTATCTGCAAGGTAGGAAGTTTTATAGATTTAAAAGTTTACCGAGTAAATAAAAGAAAATCTTAGACTTCCGACTGTTTCCAAGCAGGCTTAAAATAGAGATTTGTAATTATTAATTTATATCTTAATTTAGATTATAGTCTTCCTTCTATATTTCTCTACAGTTCTAAGATAATTTCTTTTATAGAAATGTTGATAGTTCTTCTCCTCTCTACTTAACCAGAGGTGGAGTAATTTTATTATTAAATATTCTGGAATATCTAAGAAAAGACTGTGCTATAGTAAATCAGTTTATATAATTATAGAAATAGATACTAATAATATATTTATTGCACTGGCTGGATGAAGACAGAGGCTAAAAATAGCAGGAGAACTATGCCATAAAATTTATAGAATATTAGAAAATACTGTATTTATACTATAAAGATCTTTAAATAATCTTTTAGTATTAATTAGTATCAGACAACACTCGTGAAAAACTAGGCTGTAGAGTTTAGTTTAGTAATATTTAATAGTATTACCAAGATCCAGTAGAAACTAGGGAAAGTTGGCTATTTTTAGGCACAGCCGTTGCAAGCTATAAAATAAGAGTAGAAATTTAATGATTATAATAGATGCTAATTAGTCTTCTGAATTATATAAGTAGTTACTATAGATCTTAAAGTATTGAAGGAATAATGGATTCTTAACTTATATTAATAACTGCAGAAAGTACTGCTTATTGGAGCAGTTTCGGATTGTTAATATTTTAAATATATGGAATAATAATAGTTGGCCGTCCAGCAGCAGACTGTTAGAGAATAGAATATATAAAAATATCAAGAATATGAGTAATGAGAACTATTCTTGCTCATCTAATATATAATTATTCTGTACTAACAGTGGCTAGAATATTTTCAAGATATTTTTATAAAAGATAGATATGCTTGGATCTAATAGAAGTCTAATAGATACTATCTTCAGTTGCTGATAGTTATATTGTAGATACTTACATAAAATATATATTTTGAATGGATATTAGATGTCTTTCTATTCCAGATTAATCAATACTATTAAATTTGATAGATTTTCTAGATAACAGCTGATATGAGGACAGGTACCGTCTATAATCAAGGAAAATAAATGGATCTGTTGTTAATAATAGACTAGATATTTGTTGATATCCAGAATTCTTGTAGAAAAACAGGTTTCTATATATTACATATAATAGATTAGTTGTAAGTCTAGCAGTTTATATCTTTAATATATACTGAAAGAAGTAGATGGAGACAGTCTTCAGTTGTGCAAAAATCTGATTTATCTGATAAAATAAATTATTAAGAAAGATCTGATGGGCTGTTGATTTGTGTGGGCTTTTAATTATAGGCCTGTTGTGGGATAAGGCTGGTAGGAAAAAATGACTGTTGTATATATAATGGTGGAATCTAGCAATGTAAATAAAAGTGCTGAATCTTATCTGCTGGATATGCTGGATGATCTTGCCGGCGCAGAAGCCGGGGTGGTCCTGGAAAAAGACATAGATATTGAGAATATTAGAAGATGAGGGGTAGAGAATAGGAGGGGAGGAGGTGATGAAATGGAAAAGATGAGGTGGAGGGAGAGATGAGATGGGGGATGGGATGAGATGGAAGGGATGATGTGAAGAAGGGGGATGAGGTAAAGATGAGAAAGGACGAGCGAGCAAGAAGAGAAAGAACAAGGCCCAACACCCCGTGACCGCCCAAAGAAGACATCAATTCACGTCATCTAGGGACGTATTCACTACTGGGACTGTAATAAACCAGTATTGCTAATTGCATAGGACCATTGCCTGGTCCTACAAAGTTGATAATAGTCAAAGAATACAATCACATAGATACAGAGTACTAATGGACAGCAAACTGTTTCTTAAGTTGCTCGATGGCGGATCTTATGGACAGTCGCTTCTCATACTGCATACTACATTACGGACCATAACACCCACAAAAACCAAAACTGCCATCCTTCAGGCTGTGGTATCATGATAGAACCAACTACTTGCATCAAGAACGTGTAATTATTTGCTATGTTTTTCATCAGTAGTCACTATTTATTCGTAAATTTGCCCAGTCATCTACCTCTATATCGTTCTACGGCCAATTTTGCCATACGACTTTCCAGACTAACAAAAATGTGCCAAAACCATTTCCCCCTTTAAGGCTCCTCCGTCTTCCCCTTCAAGGCACCATGGCCCATCTTCAGTGAAGTGTGGCTCTGCACAGAGAGGTCCGAATGGTTGTGAAAGCATCTAACGCCTAGTCTTCCATCCAGCAGGATTGGTCTCTCGAGCGAGGCATAACCGCGTGGAGGGAGCCACTCGGCGCGCCGCCGAGGAGCCTGTGAGGGCCTTTCCAGTTTGGTGTAAAAGGTCCAAAATGATGCCAGGCAAGCCATCATGATTGCTATAATCGCATCGTCAGATTTTTTTTACATCTGCCGATCAGTGACAAGACTTACCCACACAGATCTCGATCGCGTTCCAGAAGACGAGCCAGGCAGGGCTCAGGATGCCCGTCCCTGAGACACTTAGCTCAAGCCGCACCAGCGCGATGATGATGATGAACGCCGTCAGGAAACTGACACCGATCAATGCGAGCTTTCTCCGAACGTTGATTTTCACTCTCCACATGATATGTCCAGAGAGAACGATAACTAATCGCGATATGTTAAACGGAAGAAAGTCAAGCGAGAGGGATGGTCGTACTGGCTGCATCAGACACAATATCCATACTTGTTGCGACCTTGAGGCGTACACGTTCGTACCAGATTGAATGCGCACTCGCACAAGCCTCTGTTTCATAGCGCGGTTAGGCTGGAAGCACGACCAGAATGGAAAGAAAGGATAGAGCTGACCGATGATATTCTCAAAGGAAGCCATTTCACATGCGTAATCCATGCTACCCAATGTACCACCATAGCAGGCGATAACAAACGTTAAGACCGCCCACCAGAGGATGCGTTGTGCACGATATCGATTCCCCAGATGTCGGAAGAAAAATATGAAGGACAGCTTAACCAGCCACAGACTGGTATACGAGAGGAGGTATCCGGCCAGCTGGCTACGTAGGTACTGCTCCTCAATGATCCTGATATTTGCCGGCAACTTCGAGTAATCAACTGAGCCGGTGATGAGGGTCCCCACGTAGAACAGCTGCTTATAGAATACCGACCACACGATACAGTTTGCGAGGGATAATAGCCAAGCTGCTAAGATGAGGGCATCGTGTGTGTGCCACTTGCGGTCGACGTAGTATTGGAGGAGTAGCCGGACAAGCACGAAGAAGTATGTAATTGTCAAACAGACCCAAAGTACGGCCTTGACGGGACAAAACTAGTCAGCTAGGAATGTTTTTGGTTCAATGGGGGGCATTCTTTCAGACGTACCACAAATGCAGCCTCGTTTATATAGTTACTAGCCATGACACCCCAAGTTTCACGCCTCTGGAAGACACAACATCCAGCACAGCTCGTTAGTAGTGAACTGCTGCAGGAATGGAGGGGGCAACATAGCTAGCTATGTACCCCGAGCAGTCAGACTGATGATCAGACTTAGCAAATAGCCCTTCATGCACCTAACAAAAAGATGTATGCAGGTGGAGAGACTAAGTACTACGTCGCTGCACTTCCCCACCTATCGGAGCGTCCTCTACAGACAAGAGACTACCACAATGACCAAATTGTAAGCAACCGTACGCCGTGTGCATTACTAGGACAATTAAAATGTGCTTCATGGGCCGCCATACACTGCCTGCTTCAAAAGTACGAAGCAATTTTGTCAGCCTGCTTACCAGCAACTTTTCGCAAGGTTGGCTTACTACACTAGTGCTTCCCATTGATTTCCCGGAGGATCATTAAGCACTAACAACTGAACTCTCTCTTTATACTAGTTACAACGGCCAACAATCATATCATTTGGCGATCGGTACAATGGAAGCATGTCGGACCTTCTTTTTTCTGCTTCACATGACGGCAATTTCGCTCCCATGCGCACACTCACAAGCAGTGGGATTAATTGAACTAGTTTGTACAGGCGCGGAGAAATATGAGAGTGAGGGGTAGATGGGGCGGAGTGCTGCACGCACTAATTTCGCGACGCCCTGGTCATGATTGATCGGCGTTAGATGAGCTATAATAAGAAGCTGTTGCTGCAAGTTTGGTCACATTTGCTTCCAGGCTTGAGGTGCTAGTTTCTGGCATGCATGGGAATAGCCTTGTTGCGTAGCAGTCGGTCTTCAGACTGTCCTTTTGATATTCATGTTTACTAGTTTAAACAAGAGTGAGACAGTTTCCATAGGCCTTCTCCGGCATTTTATAGAGCAATCCTTAAGTTTGATGCTACTGTAGAGGGGGAACAGAAAGTGAGGGGTTGGTTCAGCAGCTTAGTACATTCCCGTCACATATTTTGCCAACCACAAGCACGCTATGCCTGCTTCTTCCCTTGCAGAAGGCACTAGAGAAGGTTCCCATATTGCTAGGACGCTAGCACTATCTTCACCCGCCTGCACTCTTCTGTTGATGCACAATAGACACCAACTGCCGTAACAGGTTCAAGAACTGCCTTGCAGCATCCCGACAACGCTCACCGGGACCACCGAGTCATTAAGGCCCGCGTTAGAGCGATACAACATCGGATAAAGATATGCAGGAAACGACCAGACCAAAAAGCCACCAACCCAAAGATATCCGATCAACCGTTCGCCGCGAGAAGCTTTCCAATTGCGGGACGGCCCGCCACGTAGAACAAAGTAAGCATTGACAGCAAAATCCTCCATCATTAATCCGAGGGCCTGCGTGCAGAAGAACTGCATAGCCCCAGAGCTAGAGGACGATAGCCCCGACGACAGGTCAATGAGAAAGTGCATGAATGCTGAGGTTGCAAACACCATCACAACTTTGGCATATCGGTCGGCGAGAGTCCCTGGTTGGAAGCGAAAGACATCACGAGCGAAAAAGCGAGAGATTGCACGGAATTTATGGGAATTGGATTGGTGCCACACGCGACTAGATGGGATATCAGTTCCATTTTGGCCTAGAATACGCATAAGAAGGGTTGCCTACCTCCAAAGCCTTTGCAGGCTATACGCATCCGCTAAGTCTCCATAAAAAGGAGGCCAGTCCTGCGGCTTACTCCACCTCAGAAGAACGCTGGTGAAAGCGAAGAGATAATAGAAGCCTCCCTGACTGGCCAACAGACCTATACCAGCCGCAATGCCAGAAAAGATTCGAATTGCGGTCTCTTCTGCAGTGATTTCGGAGAGTCTCCGAAAGAATGGCACACAAGATGCATTGAGGAAGCGAGATCCTACCTCCGGATCACCCATTGACCCAAGCACATCAAGGCCCAGATAACTAAGGAGAATAATCCCCGCAGATCGACAGAGAAATGCGGTTCGCTCGCGGGTTACGGCCTCAGGGACGTTGTGTACCTGTTCAGGCGTCCCAATGCATCGCGCGTTGAAGGCCGCCCAGACGCCAAACCGCAGCCGGGCCCAGGTTGGCTTTAGCGTCTCGGGCGATTTCGCTTGTGAGGGGTCGACAAATTCCCACCGCGTCAACAAGCCAATGTCGATATAGTGAAGCAGTAACATGACCGAATAGCCGCCTGCAAGGCTGGCCCATGGTGTTCGAATGAAGTATTCCAATGCGATGGAGATACAGTGGCCAGTACATAGTGCAACGATTACCAATGCACCAGGCCTCAGGCTTGACTGAGCCGGGGTAAAGCCGAGCGTGGTCACCACCACGGCAGTTTGAAGAGCAATTGATGAGAGGGGATTCAAAGACATTCTCTATATACCGCTGGTTTTTATTGCAGTCGGCACACAATAACAGAGGCTGGTGGGCAAAGCAGAAGGCAACGAATGCATTATAGGTTGATGGGAATATGAGGACTCATGAAAAGGGGCAACAAAGCAGGGAAGATTGAACCTATAATCGCCTAAAGTTGGCCAAATGAGCGAGCAAGGGAGTACCCTTGCAAAGACCAACTCATACTACAGCAACCGGATCAATCTACATGATGATTGCGGTTGGTTGGTTGGTCCAGTCTTTGGCCTGCATACGAAGGCGAACAGCGGCTCCAGCGTTCTGGACCCTCCACCGAGGGGGCCTACAGTTGGGCCTCTTCGGGGGCTTTGTAGTGCGGTTAACCGAATACGTTTAGCTATCTAGTGCTTACTTTAGACTCCACCTGTCGATCAGTTACCCGAGCCGTCTCATCTGAGGCCTTGCTCTAAACCATCGCCCTGAATAAGGGTTGGCGTTTACACTCCAGCAAAGGATGAAATAAGGCTTGTTTCAACACATATACGATGACCTTCCTACGAGAGCGAATCTCAATAATCCTGATCCCCTTGGCATCCACGCCTAGGTGGCCATGAAACCAGCTGAAAGGCCAATTTATTCAAGATACTGGATGTCGGGCCCTCTTCCCCAAATCATCTTCTTCCTCTTGATAAGACAATGGCTATCCGTGATATTCAGACATTATTGAGCCGGGTCAGTGTATCCATCTTTCTAGGGTCACAAATGATACTCTCAGCATCCTTCCCATATTCTTCATCATAGCCATCTCTCCAGTCCCAGGACCTGACCTCCTCAATTGCCGCCGGCATCTTTTTAAAGAACTCTCTTTCAGCTGCCTCCATCGTTTCAACAGTCAGTTCCTATCCTTCCGCAGGGGAACATGGGAAATACATCCCTGAATAAAGCAGGAAAGATCCATTATGACCCGGTGTCGCATATTCTGGTTTGTAGGATGGTCAATGAGATGCCGGATCATTGACAACATATACCTGGGCGGTTTCGGCGTCAGCATTCGTAAATCAGAACCAAATGTGGCTGGAGCTTCAAACGTATCTTCAAGAGTTAGATGAAAAGCGGAGAGGGGATAAAGATGAATGGGGGATCCGTGTTCGATGTTTCTAGTATGAATTTGGCAGAGTCCATCCCAATTCCCCAGATAGACATTAGAGTGCTTAGGCTTTGCTACCTGAAGAAAGCCACTCTCTGTGAGTACTTGAGAAGCAAATGGAAGGGACTCGTCAGGGACAACCCATTCAACAGTCTAGTGAGGAGTCACTTATTTTCAGACAGTAATGAGATGATCATCGTCTGCACTTACGAAAAGAACGCTTTCCAACCCTGAATACAATCTGTAAGCTATATTCCAAGACTGGAATATGGTTATCTAGGAGCGCATTTAAAGCTATGCTCACACCTGCGTCGTGCAGTGCAACTATTCCACTCATCCGGTGACCTCGGTACCGGTGTCTTGAATGGATATCGATGCAGAGGCGTCTGCCTTCGTGTGTGGAGCACTTGAGTGTGTAAGAGCAATGTCTGGTTTCAGCAAGGTCAGCAGACTGATGATAAGAAGAAACAGAAGCGAGAATGGAAAGATATCTTATACTTACCACATGAAAGAGCTAGAATTCCCTTGCGCTGAAGTAACCGACACTGTATTGTTGTCTTCAGAAGACACACTTGGGTCATCAGGCAAAGTGAGTCGAGATGTTGAAGGATCTATTGCATCCAGTCGTCACGCCAAAAATCTGGGCGGTAAGTACAAGAAAAAAGAGGCTCGGCTAAGAATTATGCACTACCAGACTAGTGTTCCAATATGAGAAGTATGTCTCGTTAAATAGCTGGAAGATTTTTCCAGGTCACTAAACCTAGCTGGTCTGCTTGAAACCCACATAACCATCTAGGCACCACAAGACCGAATCAAGCTTAGGAGTTTCCTCACCTGAGACTGTGAGTAGCTGACTGGATGAAGAAAGACATAACCATTACATGATCATTGCATTGGAAGTCTCCGTCATAAGCTCCGATTAAACGAGAGGATGCACGAAGCACAATGAACGATGGCGGCGAATGGATGTGATGAGAAAAGATGAAATTGCAGGTGAGCGGGCTTCGGGCTGTACTACCACCGACAGCAAATTGGCTCTCCTAAATCAAAGCCCATTGCTGACTGAGGCAGCAATAACATAGTATAGTCATGTGTGTGAACGACAAATATGCAATGAAACAAGCCATAAATCGGACTTTCCTGACTCATCTAGATGAGCAATATCATATGTCTTATACTATAAACGATAACGCGATTAACACTCATCTATATCCATCTCTACTTTCATTTACATCCGGCATCGTCTCCGTGGTAATCTCCACCTTGACATCCTTAAATATCCTAACTCCGCTATGCATACTTGCTCCATTCTCAGCAAGCTCAATATCATCCTGTAGCTGCGTGAGACCCTCCTTTCGACGGCCTCGGCTTCCCCCAGTATAATCATAAGTGTAGCTCTTATAACGACGCGCAAGACTGCTGTTTTCACCGATCAAGCGGGGGGCGTAGCGGCGGAGGAAATTTCGGAGGAAGGGGAGGCAGCTGCAGATAATGGCAAAGTTTGCTTCGATGTTGCTAGAGCAATTATGTTACTATAGCAAAAAGGGCAGGGATGATGGCATACTTACATCCATAAGTCCGGTCGACCGATATTGTAGGTTGGGTCAGGGGAGTTGAGAAAGGGAATCAAAGTGATAAGACGGATGATGCCCGTGACAAGAGTTCTAAATTGTCAGCAGGTAACATGAATGATGACGATCACGATACTCACGCGCAGCCAACCATGAACATCAGAGAGAGGCCTAGCTTCTGTATTCCCGGCATATTCAGCCCCAAAACCGTTGGGATAGGCACCAGAATCAACGCAATATCGGAGATGATGTTCAACACGGCTGTTGCAACATACAGCGCGTATTGGTTGACACATGTCCCCGTGACTGATATATTCCACCCTTTTTGAATTGGATGGCAGCCAAAAATGAAGGCCATGACGAGCGCAAAGCTGTAGCTACTGACCACGAACGCGATGCCGTATAGAATCCATTGTTGGTACCGTTTGTGACACAAAATGCGGTAGTAAAGGATAATCAGGCTAATTTTTGCAAGGGCAAGAGCCGGGACGTAGACGATGGCTGCGGAGAGGACAACCTTGATATATACTTCATAGACTGCAGGCGTCACATTCCAAAAGTGGACTCCCATGCCCCCGTGTTTGTATCCATCTGACATGTTAGTAGAGTAGTAGCCAATGGCAGTAGCCACTTACAGATGGAGCATGCTTGGGTGCTCACAGAGAACACCTGGAGCAAGATTAGCGGGGAATAGCTTCACTTCCAATCGCTGTGACAGCCTACCCAAGCAAGAATAATTGACACTTTAACAGTCAGACAGACACGCTCATCATCGATACAGCCAACATACCATCATCCCATCCGAACTTGTGCAGCAAATGTGCCTTGGTATACACTCGCAGGAATAAGCAGCTAGTGCTGATGATTAAGCCCGCCGAAATCACCGCCATATTGGCCGTATACAAATGGCGATGGGAGTAGTCAAAATCGTATGTCTCCCCCGGAGGAGGATTCGCCATTGTAGTAATGGCCATATTCAAGTGGCATCGAAGGCCAACAGCCTCTCACTGAAGCCTCACGCTGTCATAAAGCATAGAAGGGTTCCAGAAGGGAGCTTATACTCTGAGGTGGCCCCTGAGGCATGGGAAGGCCTAGTCGATGGCACAGACATGATGGGGAGAAAGAATTTGCATTTGTTCATTTTTTGTTTTTTTCTTGCTTTTTCTCTTCATGGAAAAGCGTATTGATTACCCTCGATGGATTCCAACACGGAAGGTGCTATCGAAAGCTTATGCACGCTCTCCCAAGATGACAAGGATATGCGCATCCTTTGTTAGCCGTGGCAAATTGTACCACATTCCGTATATTACTGTGATTAACAATAACAATCCAACCAAGCTTAAGAATTTTCCCGGTGCATGGATAGTGTCATCCTTGTGGAGCGTCCAATATGCCATCGCGTCTAGCCGTCGTCCGGGCCAAAGCCTGGCCGTCCAGAGGCCCGAGAGACGGCGGGAGGAGTGGAAAGGATCGGTGGTAGAGCCCCAAGAGGCGAACGATTAGACCGTGCTAGTTCGGATCGCGTTGAAACGGCTCGTGCTGGCTTCATTATCGGCTCCACCGCGATGCGGGTTGACTGCGCCGCAAATTTAAAAAGGCACTAATTCCGTGTCAAAAATGGCGCAGCCTAGCAAGGCAAAATGAGGGGGTGGAGCTTGTGTTGTCTAATCTATTCTGTTCTTTTTCGTAGTCTACTGTACAAAATTACTTCGACTAGTCGTAAATTTTGGACTCGATGGTGCTTAAACCTGGCTGATCTTGAAGCCACCTGGAACCTGTACCTGAAACACTCCATCTGGATCGTACTGCTTGGCCACGCGGGAGATGAACTCAACATTCTCCTCGCCATAGCCCTTGAGAGGGTTCTGCGACTTGTCGGCATAATTGAGATAGATGTACTCATTGTGCGCCCCAATCGATTTGGCGTATTCACCAACCTCCTCCAGGATCGACTGGCCAAGGCCGATGAAGAGATCGTCGTCCCTTGCATCATCCCAGGAGTAGTCGAATAGTATTTCTGTAAACGGATTAGTGCTGCGCTAGAAACAAGGTCGGGTTACATACGGATCAGGTTCTCGTCAAACCGTTCCAAACCCAGAACGTTGCCACCCTTCTCCACGCTGTGCTGAGCGAAAAGCTTGGGCCAGGGCTGGATGATGGTATCCATGGCCCAGTAGTCACTCTTGACATGAGCCTTGGCCTTTTCAATGTTGTTGTTGTGAAGGTCGATCGCCTTGCGAAGGACTTTGACGTCGTTCTTGTACGTGCCGGTGGTGAAAACATCACTGAGTTGTTAGCGCCCCGAACAACGAGAACCAGACTTAAACACCACCATCGACTGCCTTCCAAGAAGAAAGAGGACCGAAGATGGCTATCTATTGGAGACTTACCGGTAGCCCGCCGCCTGAACCAGCTCTTGTGTCAGGTTGTAAATCGTAGCAAAACGCATCGTGTCGGTGGTGTTTGGAATACTCGTAAATTCATGGAATGCAGGAGCAAAGGCAACAGGCTTGGTGTATTCCAAGGCATCGGCAATGATGTTCTGTCCCGTTGTCGAGCTGTATTCCCACATCCCAATCCAGGATGCGTATGGGTCATTGTGGATGTTGTTGGTAAAGTTCACAGCGGCCGAGAGCTGCCGGGCGGTGGTTGAATTATCATAGACGACCAGTCCACCCCAAAGCATATCATGAGGCAACGTCTTGAGGTCATACTTTGTAACAACTCCAAAGTTGATCGAGCCACCCTTCAGCGCCTTGTACAGATCAGGATGGCTAGTCCGGTTGGCATTGACGATCGATCCACTGGCAAGAACGACTTCAAAGTTCTCGATATTATCACATGCGAAGCCTACACGAGCGGTGTAGAAGGTGTTTCCACCTATCAGGGCATTAGACATGCAACCACTTTTGTTTGAACTGTCGCTGAATCTTACCTCCGATCAAGAACCCACCCACGCCAACTGGTCCGCCGCGTCCGCCAGGTACTGTGACTCCGTACGGATCAAGAGCCTTGTAGACCGCCTGCCAGCGCGCACCCGGCTGGATAGATGCAACGCCTTTGTCCTTGTGGTATGTGGTGCTGTTCATCATGGACAAATCAATGGTAACACCCTGTCCGATATCCGCTGCACCAGGCCAGGTGGTATGACCACCACTGCGCACGGCAAATGGGCATTGTGTTTCGCCGGTTTGGGTCAGAGTCGAGACAATGAGCGAGACATCCTCTGTAGAGTGTGGCTGTACAATACACGTAGGGTCGAGCTGAACATTGACCGCAAAGTAAGATGCCACGGACTCATTGTATGCAGCGCTGGTAGGGTAAAGGACTTGATTACGCAGGGAGGTCGCTTGCAGAGCGGCGCACTAGGTGACAAGGCTATTAGTACACCGACTAAGTACTGAACATGAACCACATACACAAAGTTGCGTAGAGCCAAGCCCGAGGCTGGCCTCGGGCAGAATGCTGAGAACAGGGACTGCCGCACTGGAGACCTTCATTTCGAGTCCAACGCTGATAGAATTTCTCCGTTAGCAGAGTCCCTGGAGATGGCTACACTTCATAATATATGCCGAAGCCCCTAGATCAAGCGGGCTGCGGGAAGACTTCCACGATTAGCGCCTTTTCATAGCGGATACTCCTTGCCTGTGCTTTGACAGCCGGAGTGGTCCCGAGTCGCAACGAAGTAAGTAGTAAGTACATGGCTACACGGGGCAAGTCAACCCGTATGGCACGATTGAATTGGGGTAGCCAGAGACGGAGAGGGTAAAGTTATTCTGTGGAGCAGATAGTATGAAGCGAAGGCGTTCGTGTGCGAATCCCTATACGAGCGTGTCGATCAATTGCCGTCTGCGTAGTAAGACATGCTGCAAGCCCAAACTGGCGATTGCACCGGTGGTCCAGATTGTCTAATAACAAACCGAGGCTTGATTTGACGGTTGGGTGGCCCGGTTAGTGGGTCTCTTGATGACAGGCACACTTTATTCGCAGTGGAGCTCCCTTATATAGTGGGAAAGCTAGTTGGCAGCGTACTAGATTTTAGCGTTGTCAATCGAGCGGACGGGAAACCAACCCGGAGAACTAGACAGCCGCCTTGCCAGTATCTGTGACATAAAAGAGTCGAAAATGAGAAAATCTTATTGAGTAGCTTCAAGGCACAGTAAGGTGTGCACGCAGGTTAAACACAGAGCCCAAAACTGAAGATGTTCCCTACCAATGCCCGCGGATGCAGGGATAAGGGCCAATGAAGGCGCAAAGCACTTGCCTAATCACGGAATTGACAGGGTCATGGCAATTTACTCAGAAAGAAGGTGTTGGCTTGCGCTTCGTCTCGTCCTGCATTCATACCCCTCCACGGGTTCCACCATCACCGTCGCACCTCCGAAGTTCAGCCAGCTCACGCCCTCTCATCAGGTCCGTCATTTCTGTTTGCTCCCAACCGCTTCATTCTACGATTCTCCACTTGGTAATCCAATCTGGTGTTTGGACTCGGAATTAATCACCGTTCTAGCCTGTCTATCCCGAATTGGCCTTATTTGGCAAATTTCCGTGTGTTCTGTGGCTGGATGCTGATAGCAAGGCTGCTAATAGATTACCACCTATTAGACACGAAGCCGGAGATACCTCGGCGACATATTGCAGATGTAAATCCGTGACGGTAGCAGTCAAGCGCAGTCGAGCATATCGATTGGTTTAGTAGCAACTTGATGTAGTAAAAGATTATGGAGGTGAATCACTCCCTTCCCTTCCCAGGTCCATCCTGTTTTCGATGGTGTTACCCAGCTTGTTGAGTAATATACTTGTACTTTTCCTTGAGATAGACTAGGCGTAGTGGCTGAGATTAGAATTCATAACATGGATGAAGTCTATATGGCATCGTACCTGTACAGAGATTCCAATGCAAAAGTTGGGATCTGCCTTCGATGAGGCAGATTGAAACTCTTGTCATCAACACCTTTTTGTGCCGGTAATCGTCCAACCAATCCTAGAAAGAGACCTGGTTGAATTCAGCCTTATCGGCCATTCTTCGTTTTATCCGAGCTTGCAAGCCACCCCAGCACCTGTAGCGGGTATGATTTTCTAGGTGTCTGTGTCCTTGGTTTGGATTCCCGGCGCTAAACCGGTATACTCCTCATGGTAGTCGCACATACAGACCGTCCTGCTGGCAACGCCGTCGTTGTTACCGCCGCAAAGCTTCAGCTGACAGTAAGACTAAAGTGACTGAAAATTTTTTCAATATGGGGGCATCTGTAATTATCTGTAATCCTCTCGAAGCCTCTTTTTAAAGACTTAATCGGGATATTTCCAGTGTTGTAAACGGTGTTCATACGGTGTTGAGCTGCTCCGTCGCGGAATCAATCCGAGCGGCAGACGGTGGGGAAACAAACAGTGCAAACACCGCATCTTATCAGAAAACTTTCCAATTTCAACTGCGAAAGTTGATCAGTCAACTGCAGACGCCCCGGCCTTGTACCTGTCGCCGGTGCCGCAATGCTCTCCTGATTATACGGGCGCGCGAGAGAGAAGGGGAATGATTTCGTCATCTTCCCTAATCCCATGCCTGTGGTGCGGTTGCCTCTTGGCCTTTTTATTCTTCGATCATGAGCAGCCCAACTCCATATGAACCAGAGGAAGACGACGACGATACATCGGAATACAAGCCCGAAATCAAGCCTTCGCAAACAAGCGCCCCGTTACCGGTCCCTCCATCAACTGGTCCCACTTCGTCGAAAGCATATCCACCCGTGCAAACGTCGAGGACGGAGCGCAGATCCGCAAGAGGCACGCGAGCCCAGGCGCTAGAGGAGCTACAATTATCGCTATCGAGAGAGTCCGTGGAGGCATACTCCAGCGTTCTTGCGGGGATCATCGAAGATCATGCGCCCGTTCCTACAATCGACGGTGGCGAAAACCACACTACATCGCAGAATGGAATCGTGACGTGGACTCCAAACGAAAAGGAGGTACTATATCATGTTTTGGATAGGAAGAGCAAGAATGGGATCCAAGAAATTTCCCGTCAGCTGGGCTCGAAATCTGAGCTTGAAGTTCAGGAGCATTTGAACCTGCTCCATAATGGCCTGGAAAGACAGCACCTGAAGGATCGTCATACAAGGACGATTATTTTAGGTGAGGTTCCCGCAGCAGCTGAAATAAGCAAGGACTGCTGTGACGAGCTCGACCAATACGCTGAGTTGGTTTCGATGGAGGAGCAGATGGCAGAAGATGTTGCTGGAAAGCAGAAGCACCAAGACCTGTGGATCATTAATCGAGAAACAGCAGAAGCGCTTGCGCAGGAAGTCAAGTCCCAAGGCGCTGATCCAACTGCTAGCTCCAGTGCCCATCTGACGGCTGAGCTCTTCAATATGAGAAAGTGGATCCGGCTGTCAGAACGCTTCTTCATGAATTTTGGCGGTGCACGACTGGAAGACAACTGGGCCAATGTAGCCTTCGCAGATGAGACACCGTCCATGACCGCCGATTCATTTGCGGATTTCTATGCCTTGACAGTCAGTCTGACACGCCGTCTTGTTCAGTCATCTCTTTTCTTCGCAATGTCAAGGTTGCGGAATATGCGACAGACTGGCAATCAAAAGGCGAATGTCGTGAGGTCTCGCGATGTCAAGACAGCACTGGACGTGCTCAACATGCAACGGGACCGTTCCGACTACTGGGTCGGCCTTGCGCGGAGATGCAGTCTCAATGTTGAAGACTCTCGACATCGAAAGGGGTGGAAGGCAGTGCACATGGAGCACGATGAGGTGGAGGATATCTTGTCTGGGAGAATACCTCTCGAATCAGAGTCTCGTGAAAGAAGTGCCTCAAGGGGAAGATCGGGAAGTCGTGCGCCAGGGAATACGACAGATGCCGAGGACGCAGGTTATAGTGACGAGTCGGAGCTATCCTCTGCGGCATCATCTGTGCTCTCTTCGCCTGTTCTATCTCCAGTTGAGGAACAGCCAGTTGATCTAGAGGATGACCATGCTGAACAGATTGATGGGCAGATGAGCCGTCTCGAGGAAGTGAACCTATGGAAGCTCATTGGCGAGTCACCTCCACAACCCCTCGAAGCCCAAATCCAAGAGTATGAAGCGCAAGATGCTGTCCCACGGAGGCCACTTGGTCAGCGCAAGACAATGGAAGACTTGGTCGATTGGCGTGACAGGACGTTCTATCGCAGCGAGTGGGAGGAATACGGTCATGATCTTGTGGACCTATACGATGATCTTTCAGAGAACCGGCGGAAGAGGCGACGTTTCGATCAGGATACGGATACAGAGCCTACAAATCGGCTGGTTGCTGCTCCAAATCAGCAGAACGCCAGCCTCCCTGATAGTCACATTAGTGCTGGCGACAGCGATGATGCAGACGATGGGGATGATTACGATGAAATGCGGGTGGATGAGCTGACACCATCGAAGTCTGAGATCGAGTTTCCAGGGAGAGAAGATTCATCGCCACAGGATGAGAGTCCAATATCTGAACATGCATCTCGCCTGATACATGAGCTTGAAGGTCATGAAGGGTATCCGCCACGAAGAGACCTGAGATCGGGCGTTATGCTAGTCCCTTCCAAGGCCACGGAAGCAGACAGTCCTCCAAGTCGTCGCCTTCGTAGGGCGATCAAGCCTGAATTGGATAATGAAACAGCATCTAGTACTGACGACAATCTACCTGATCCACGCGCAGCCTCGTCCGAAGATGAGGGGAGCGATGAAGGAGTGCCATTGTATTCACACCCAATGAGCCCAGCCGATCCGGTGTCGGATTGATCGATCCTACGGAAATGGTCATCGCATATTTTGGTTACTTATACGGGTCTGATTTTGTGTATGAATATTTTGATTATTTCATTCGGGTCTTTTTGTATATAAATTCATTCGGGATACCTACTTGCATGTTTCTATCTAGATACCTCGCCAATGCGGCTATAGACCTTGTTTCAATATACATTTGAATACTATTTCACTTTGCTTCCACCGTATTGACCGCACGGCTCAGTAGTGATGAAGTTCGGCCCTTCTATAGCAATGGCTACTGCAGCCAGTCCACACAATATGTCCTCGCAAGAAAAGAGAGAGGGAGAGAGAGAGAGAAATTGTGGGATTTCTCCCATCTTGCATGAACAGGTGAAAGAAGACAAAAACAAAAAAGGAAAGGGCCGAACGCGATTTGAACGCGTGACCTTAAGATCTGCAGTCCCACGCTCTACCCCTGAGCTACCGGCCCCTTTCTTGTTGAAAAGTCAAGCGTCTTTTTGAATTATATTGCTTTGATACCTGCAAATGCCAAAGAATTGCCATCTTCCCTGTCATTCGGATTTGTTTGTGTTCCTGCTGGTCCGTAGGAGCCCATGTGTGTTCGGCTTCCCCTGGATCCCCCACCAATTACTACTTACTTATGGCATTTCCAGGTCTGCGAGTTCTCTTAGCAGCCAACCAACTACGCTATATGTAACAGCTGAATATTCCCGTAGTTCTTCGTATGTGTCTATCTTTAACACCTAATGAGTGAGCTGTGCAAAGAATAGTATACTACGTTGAAGGGGCTGTGGGATTCATCCATGGGTACTTTCGTTCTCGACACATCTTCCATGTGGTAGTGGCATGTGTCGGTATATTGGATTACCGCTTAAATATGTGCTGTGAATATCCCAGCAATAACAGGATAAAAAAAAAAAAAAGAGGCAAATGCTGTAGGTTCATACAAAGGACAACCTGTACATGAAGTTCAAAAATCAAAAAGCAAGGGCCAAGCGTGGATCGAACACGCGACCTAAAGATCTGCAATCTCTCGCTCGTACCACTGAGCTATTGACCCGTCTTGCTTGGCAAAGTGGCAAAACTTGTGCTCTATAACTGGGGCTTTGATTTCCCGCTGATATTCTACTGAGCTAGGATTGTGTAGTTATGTACCAAGAGTTTATGGTTCACTTGGCTGTATATCTTGAATTTACTTCTGATGTTAGCTTAATATGGCTTAGATACAGCGGCGGTTCCTAGATTCTGTCTCACTACGAAAGGGTCTGTTTGTTCTCTGTTCATATTGACATATTGTGATGTTGCAATAGTCCTATATATATTCGGCCGCTCATACTACTTACTTGTAGTCTGGGCCTCTTAATGTCTACGGGCCTCTCTGCCACTCACAACCATACCAACAGAAAGCCAATATTCTTGCGAAGGATATGCATACAAGCGGATAACCACCAGAAATACCTCCCATGTCATTCAGTAACTGACACGCGATGAGCGATGGCTACTTATTCGGGAACCCATGTGCCAAAGCGGGGCCCGTCAGCTTATCCTGTCTCGTATCGGACAGAAACCAAGGATCCTAAGGATTGGAGGACTCTTGACAGCAGTGATATTAATAGTATCCATAAATGTTTGATTCTCATCATGAGGGAAATCTTATTCACGAGCTTAAACAGAATACCTATACCCACCGTAACGTATACTGCGCCAGGCACAAACATCAGGGCGACCATGCAACCAGAGACACAAGCAGAACGAATACTGAAGAAAACATAGTAGATACCCGCTACAAACAAAACAAGAGGCTACTGAAATGCCAGATCCAGGTGAATGAGATCCGCCGGCGTTTGAAAGTCCCTGACCCCGACGGAGTTGCCTTGATCCGTCTTACAAATCAATGATAAACAATAGTGGCATGCGTCACAGACAGGTATACTCCTGACATTTCGTGGCTCCTGGCTCAAAATAATCTATCTGGATGAGACATTGCGCCGCATAGTGGATTATCACGTAATTTGTCAGCAGCATACACGGAGTGCCGAACGCCGACATAAGCTGTCGATCAGATGGCGAAGTAAATGGTTTCTAATCAACATCGTCTATGACGGAGGACAACAGTGGTAGAAGGTTATCGAACGAGTAGATGAATCATATATAACACAATGATTAGCATCGAATATAGATATCCATCCCAAAAAATCCTCACACACCAGAAATCACAGATCCCTCTCAGTACAACATCTACCACACCCACGACAGTAACCATACAAAATGTCTCTTAAACCCATTACCCTCTACGGCCACACCATGGGCCCCAACCCCTGGAAAGTGGCCATGGTACTCGAAGAGCTCGAAATTCCCTACAAGACGATATACATAGCTGCTGCAGACGTCAAGAAAGAACCATTAACCTTGGTCAACCCCAATGGCCGCGTGCCCGCTATCGAGGACCCCAACACAGGAATCACCCTGTGGGAGTCAGGCGCCATTATCGAATATCTCTCCGAAACCTACGACAAAGACAATAAGATCAGTTTCCCAGCTGGTACCCCTGAGTACTTCCAAACAAAACAATGGCTCCACTTCCAGATGAGTGGGCAGGGCCCGTACTTTGGTCAGGCTGTTTGGTTCCGGCGACACCACCCTGAAGTGGTTCCTAGTGCTCAGGAGAGATACAAGAACGAGGTTCTTCGGGTGTCATGGGTGCTAGACAACGTTCTTAAAGATAGGGAGTACCTAGTTGGCGGACGGTGTAGCTACGCGGACATCTCGTTCGTGCAGTGGTTTAATGTCTTTGGAATCGCCACGGATAATGATGTTGACATGGAGAAGGAGTACCCAAATCTTTACTCTTGGCTCGAAAAGATCAAAGCAAGGCCGGCTATCACCAGAACTGCCGAACTACAGAAGGAAGCAATTGCGAATGAGAAGCACTGAGTGAAAGTGGATTTGGAGCGTCATTCAACCTAGGATGTCTATCGGGGATTGTAGAAGTCATTGCAAATTTGTTTTATGCTCCTGAAGTCCGGATATGGGGACCAGTATGTAGTAATATTATGATGCCAAGTACTTTTCTAATCCCTTGCTCAACTCTATGATCTCTGCAAATATAGCTGTTGAATAGAGATCGCGACGTTAGAACAGAGTAGGAATTGGTAGAGAATAGATCGATAATGTGGAGAGCGAAGAAGCTCCATCCGCGATGGAGAGGAGCCCGGTAGCGGCTAGACCAGATACGGCTAGCGCCTCTGAGGGTCTTGGCGCGAGTTTTTGGAGCGTCGGTCCGTGTCGCGACAGTCGCTCTGCCTCCAAGCCACCCATCCATCAATCTCTCGTCGCTGTCTGGTGGAGTCATCCACCCCCATTATATCTTGGTTATCCCCAATACCCTTTCCTCTCACGTCTCGACCATTCAGAGGGCTGCGTCTGCGCCCTGCCTACCTTTCTTCTGAGCAGAGCCAAGGTCCCTTGCTCTCTGCCACCCGCGACCTCAGCTTCCCGTCGTCGACTATCGTGCCAACAAAATGGAGGACAACCAGGTTATGTCTGGTGGCGCCACTGAGGATGCTCAGGCTATTAACGTGGCACAGGATGCCCCAGGTGATGTGATTACCACTTCCGGTGCGTTCACCCTCTTTCCGCCCCTAAGGGGATTGGAACTTGCCAACACTCGCATCATGACACCCAGGATCGCAATCGCATCAGGGATCTCCCGAGAAAAAGACCGAGACTGTTTCGGATACTGATAATCCGCTAGATGCACCCGCTTCACCCAAGCCCCAGAATGCCGATGGCGAACCCGAGGATGAAGAGATGGGCGGCACCGAGACGGAGACGAAGAAGGAGACCGATGGAGGCGAGGATCTCGCTGATGTTGCCGCACAGTCCGGCGCTGAAGGTGCTACAGATGAACAGCCGGCGCAGGCCAAGGCATCCATTGAGGCCTCTGCGCGCTCACATCTCGTTTCGCAAACCCACGCCATCATCCTCCCCAGCTACTCTACCTGGTTCGACATGCACCTCATCCACCCGATCGAGAAGAAGGCTCTGGCGGAGTTCTTCAACGGCAGAAACCGTAGCAAGACCCCTGCAGTTTACAAGGATTACCGTGATTTCATGATCAACACCTACCGTTTGAACCCCATTGAGTACCTCACAGTCACTGCGTGCCGCCGCAACCTTGCTGGTGACGTGTGTGCGATCATGCGTGTGCACTCCTTCCTGGAACAATGGGGTCTCATCAACTACCAGGTAAGTATCTGCCCGGTGCCGACCTCAGGCCTGAGGTGCTGATACCTTGACTCAGGTGGATCCCCAAACGCGTCCGTCCAACATCGGCCCCCCTTTCACTGGCCATTTCCGAGTGGTCGCCGATACCCCCAGAGGCCTCCAGCCATTCCAGCCCGGACCCAACCACTTTGTCAAGCCTGGAAAGCCTCTGCCAGCTACGGATCGTGCAGCATCAGCGACCCCAGCTGCCAAGGCCGACCTGAACCTCGAGATTCGTCGCAATGTGTATGATGATAAGGGCAAGGAGATCACACCTGCCACGGAGGACAAAGACAAGCAGACCAACGGCGAAGGCTCAACGAACGGTACGACGGGCGATTCGACCAAGGCGATGGAGAGCGCTTCCAAGGAGCCGAGAAAGAAGTTCAACTGCTTCTCTTGCGGCATCGATTGTACTCGCCTCAGATTCCACTATGCCAAGGCAACACCCGCAACCGCCAACCCAGCCGCACCTGACACCAAGTACGACCTGTGCCCCAACTGCTTCCTGCAGGGCCGGATGCCCTCCAGCCACAGTGCCTCAGACTTCGTCAAGCTTGAAGACAGCCCATACTCGATAGCCCCCGATCGGGATGCGCCATGGTCGGATTCGGAGCTTGTTCTGCTGCTGGAGGGATTGGAAAACTTTGACGACAACTGGGAACAAATTGCCACTCACGTTGGATCCAGGACAAAGGAGGAGTGCGTGATGAAGTTCTTGCAGCTGGAGATCGAAGACAAGTATCTGGATGACATGCCTGAAGTTCGGGCAGGCAGTGGGCGGGAGCCTATCAGCCAGGCCGAGAACCCTGTCCTGTCCGTTGTCGCTTTCCTTGCACAGATGGCTGAGCCTGCAGTGGCCGCGGCTGCCGCCGGCCGTTCCGTGGAGGAGATCCGCAAGGAATTGAGAAAGCAGCTTNAGAAGGGCTNTGGAGCTCAAGACAAGGGCAAGGAGAAGGAAGGCAGTGCGACAGTCAAGGCTGAGGATTCCATGGAAGTGGACTCTGCTCGTGAGGAAGCAACCGAGCAAGCCGTCGAGGTTGCTGGTTCCGACAAGGGCAAGGCTTCCCTTCCCACCGTGGCTCTTGCCGCTTCTGCCGCTCGTGCTGGCGCCCTGGCTTCTCACGAAGAACGTGAAATGACCCGCCTGGTTTCCTCGGCCGTCAATGTTACCCTCCAGAAGTTCGAGATTAAGCTGCAGCAGTTCAATGAGATGGAGGAGATCATCGAAGCCGAACGCCGGGAACTCGAGCTTGCTCGTCAGCAGCTCTTCCTCGACCGCATGGCCTTTAAGAAGCGCGTCAAGGAGGTCCAGGACACCCTGCAGGCCGTCAGTCTTCNAGGCCCTGGTGAGGAGACCAACAACATGCTTGCCGATGCTGCTACGACTGGGATTGGCAACCGCTATAACTTCCAACCGGNAGGAGGTGACGTTAGAGGCGTGCAGCCACTGAGTGCAGAAGCAGGCGCTGACTACAAGACGTTGGACCTGTAATGTACCTATGAAAAGGGAATGTTCCACCAATGATGACATGCTTTCTTCCAACAGCTGGAGAATTCGATAACTCTTTCCTTTCATTTCTAACGACCGGGCGAAGGAGCCGTACGGGGTTGCTTTTCAATAATATCCATTGTATTGTACAATATCATAGGGCTGGGCAGGTGGAGCTATGAAGAAGAATGAATAGTCANGATGTATCTGACACGGACAGACAAGGTGGTAGTAAAGTGATGTGTGATGGATTGATGGATGGCTTGCACTATGATCTGGTCTGATTATCTTCTTTTTTTTCCTTTTACATTCGATTTACAATCCGCTAGGTAGGAAAAGGCGCAAATGTTTTGGGAGTTCANAGCTAAGTATTGTACGCGTGTGCCTTGCAAATCGATGTTCTATTGTTGAAATCACTCCTTGTCTTCGCATGTTAGTAGTTTTTTTTTGGGGTTCGGTTTCTAGATAGGCCTGGAGGTGGTTAGAAATGCCATTGTAGTCTTATATGTCANCATTGCTTCAGGTTTACAGTACCTCGACCTTCGGCTACCATTCATTCTGNTCTACGTACTCAGTGTTTCGATTATCTTTTGCCACCTGTGGCCCCTACCTACTCACCATGGAAATCGAGAGACATACTATTATACTACAGTAAGATCGTTGCACACAGTAGTACTGAGCTAAGACTCTACCACTACCTCGATTTCCACCCCCGCAAGCCATTGAACCAACAATCACACCTCCCAATGAACATATAACCCCAGCTGAGAACAGAGGTGTCAATTCAATAGACACTAATATCTCATGACAGGGACGATGTGATACCTCAACACCGACTGTTGATCACCACCATCCACGAGCCAATAATGAAGGAGCATATCGCTCCACCCATGCCGCTGCCCGGATATGACGTTCCTAAAGCATTTAGTGCTATTGAACTAGGATGTATGGACTTGATCCGTCTGTTTGCTTATTTGGACGCGTCGGCGCGTGCTTCTGTTTACTATTATCACTATTTCATACTTGTCCTTGATTTTGGGCTTTCTATCTATCATTAAAATCATTAATTATATACCTAGTCACGTTATATACATTGACCCATTCCTAGAGGAATTGAGCGGCTCATTCAATATGCCTGCCCAGAAGAGAACCTCCACTGAAATGGATCCGGCGATCGCGACTGGCCCCGATAAAGAGAATCAGCCAGCAGCAGAAGCAGCGCCGCCTTCCGGCAATACGAAGAGAAGCTGTGATGAGATCCGGCAGGAAATACGCGATTTCATTGCTTCAGGGCAGATGAGCGCCAGCGACTTCCAGCGCGCAATTGACGTGTCTCCGCGGTCATATGCTGAGTTTTTGAGCCAGGAGGGCGTCAAGGGCGCCCGGTCGGCTACGTATAAGAATGCGTTGAAGTTTTTTGACGGCCGGAGCGGAGGTACCGTTGTGCCTTTGGCTGCAACCCAGCCTGCGGCAAGCATGGCGGGAAATGCTCAGAAGAGGGCGAAGAAGACTCAGCCATCGAGTCCGGCTGCAGTTGATCTTTCGGATGTTCACTTGGATGGGGATGAGGATGGGAATGTGCCGGTCTTCGAGACGTGTGATGTGGTGAGGAAGAAGATCAGGGCGCATCTGCGCAAGACTGGAATGACGCAGGCGGGTTTCATGCGAGAAGCTGCGAAGGCGGCGTACCCGCAGGGTACGAAGAGGCTGAACGCGAATTCGTTCGGGGAATTCTTGAAGAAGAAGGGTCCTACTGCTGGGAGCTCAGGGGCGGTCTTCTATGCGGCGTATGTGTATTTTGAGAAGTTGAGAATCAAGAATGGGAAGCCGAAGGACGCCTTCCGACTCGAGATGGAGAAGGTCTGGCCGAATGGCTTCGAGCTCGATAATGCGGCCAATGGGAGGCTGTGGTGTGGTCCCAATGAGAGACCCTGGGTTGATAAGTATGGGATGGTGCATTTTTCGTGATTGTTACTGTTTGGCTCGTCTGCGGACCATCTCGTTTGCAATTATGTTCGGTTGCGTATTGTGTTCTTTGATATATACTCCGTTGGATTGATTATTTTCGAGCGAATTGCAGTTCATCCTGTTGCTTCTTTTGGTTGTTCTTTGATTATTCGGCCATTGGCATCGATGCCTGCGAATAGCTTGGATGCCGTGCTTTCGTCCAACTTCAGAGCCAGCTTAGGCCTTGAGTACAGTACATCCCAGGTGAATGCTGGCTTTCCGCTTCTGGTATCCCAGTTCACTCGTGGAACTAGACAGGATATGCGTTTCCAGAGCCTCTGCATGAAGCGTCGTGTGATGTTATGGGGTCGTCCGTCAACATAATCTTCGAAAGTATCCCCCTTCTGCGGTCCCTCCGTCAAAAACCCAGCATCTAGAGTGGACTCAACAGGAACGGAAGAAGCCCCGACTGCCTTTCGTCGTTTGGGTGGCGCCCACGGAATAGTCCCCGACATAAGACCCTCCAACACCTTGAGCTCTGAGTCAGGCAGCGGTGGGAACAGATTCTGTAGCGTCTGGTTATACCATTTCCTCCGGATGTTCCTGCGACGAGACGGAGCGAGCGGCTTCCCCCAGATATTCTCCGCGGGAATAACTGGCTCGACTTGCTTGGTGTAATAGCCGGCATTCAAAGTGGTGATCATCGAGTTACGGTTCTGAGCTTTCAAGAGATCAACCATGACCGAGGGAGGCCGCCATCCATCTTCAAACATCCCTGGTGCTTCCTGGGCCACTGTCTGCGCATCCGCCGCATTCAATGCGTCCACCGCGTCTGCTGGCGTGACCAATGCTTGTATGAGTTCTTGTCTCCGTCTTCCTCTCCGACCATATGCCTGTTGCAGGACCTTTTCCAGCGGCTTAGTATATCCCTCATTGGCTCGTTTCAGTAAAGACAATTGGTGTGTTGCTGATTTCCGGAGTAATAGAAGTCGGTGTTGATCCGTCTCTTTCTTCTGGGTATACCGTCGGAATCGTTGGAGGATCTGGGTATGGAACGTGACTCTGGCGACGGGGTCAGGGAGATAGGTACATTCGCGGAGTAAGGAGCGCAGAAGGTGTCGCCATGTTTCGGGAGGGATCTGAATGGCAGACATGGTGTCTGACGCTATTTCTCTATCGTCCTATTCGATTCCTCCCCAGCCCGGAGTTGATTCCGCAGCACCGCGAGGCTATCCGACAGAAGCAGCAGGCGGTGAGACAGGAAAACCCAAACAGGCAATAGATGTTTTGAGGCAGCGATACGCGAAATCGGGTTAGCCGCGAACGCGACCGGAGCGAATAACGGACGCCCCGCGACTTCAATCAACTCATTCATCTCGTTCCTTTCCCCCAGTTCTTCATGCAAGGCTATGTTGTACAGGATCACCTGAAAGAGCTGCATATAGAGTGGCTTTTGCACTACTTGTAAATTACTCCGGGCCGTTCAGGGTCTGACTGCCTCGCAAGAACCAGGCTCATTGACTTGTCTCATCCCTTCGCGGTCGGTGCGCTAGCCACGCGCCTCTCTCTTTTCGCGCGACGTTCCGAATCGCCTGGCCGGTCAGTCAGACTGGAGCAGTAGATCCCAGGATAGGTGCAGTTCCCCACATGCTTTCGTGAATCTCTCATTCTGTCATGATGCTGTTCACTTGTTGAACTGGCCCTGCTATTGGCTTATGGTACCTGCAATCCGTATTTATTAACCTTTTCTTATTTTTTCCTTCGACAGAGCTGCCAGCCTTGAGTCGGTGTCTGGGTCGGGCACCCTAACACTGCTAATTCACCGTTCCTTCAATGGCTTCCAATAACAACCACCCAGCTCGCCCAGGCTTACCAATGTCCTATTCACAGAGCAGTATGAGCTCCGCCAATGGCATGGTATTTTCGCAGTCGCAAATGGGCTCCTTCAACGCCTCCCAGTCGGTGTCGTCCACTCCTCGAGCTACGCCTCCTCCGAAAGGGTCGCAACAGTCGATGTCCTTTGGTTACTCGAACGGCCTCCCGCACGGTCCTCGGTCTAGTTTCGCAGGTTTTGAGGACATGAATGGGTATGGGACGATGATGTATCATGAAGAATTCAAGCCTCAAATTTATAGGGTCGGTTTCCCGTCATTGCGCATCCTGAATCCCTTGAAACGGTACTGACTCGTTTTACTGCTGTGTTGATAGGCTGTCTACTCCAATGTCTCCGTCTACGAAATGGAAGTGAACGGTGTCGCCGTGATGAAACGTCGCTCCGATTCGTGGCTCAATGCTACGCAGATTCTCAAAGTTGCCGGTGTGGTCAAGGCGAGGAGGACAAAGACACTGGAAAAGGAGATTGCAGCGGGCGAGCATGAAAAGGTTCAAGGAGGGTATGGTAAATACCAAGGAACCTGGGTCAACTATCAGAGGGGCGTGGAGCTTTGCCGGGAATACCATGTCGAAGAATTGTTGCGACCCCTTCTTGAATATGACATGGGCGGTACAAACGGTACAGCGCAAGACTCACTCGACACCCCGACAAAGGAGCAAGCAATGGCTGCGCAACGGAAACGGCTGTACAGCGGGATGGACAATCGCGGCATGAGCCAACCTCAACAAGGCACATTCTTCCAGAACATCTCTCGCACGGCTGCGACTGCAGTGAACGCCATGAGCAAGGCTCGCTTCGACTCACCTGCGGCTCGCGGGATTGACCAAAGGCGATCAAGTGTTATACGAAAGCCTTCGCACCAGATGAGCAGCCAGGATACCCACATACCTTTGAACAGTCAACAAAGCATGTATAGTGTGACATCTGATAGCGGTTTCGGAAACAATTTCCAGAGTAATGGCCGCTATGCTATGCACGATGGTGCCAGCTTCGACCACGAGGAGCCAAATGAACCTCCGCGGAAGCGCGTTCGGTCTGCCTCTCACCAGGCGCCGTCGTTCGGGATGCCCTACGAGCACTCGACGGCTTCCATGGCTGAACCAACACCAACTGAGCCGAATGACTCCTTTTACCAAGATATGGATGTCTCAACATCGATAGTGGATGGTAGCAAGCGCGGGTTCGAGCCTTTGCCGCCCGCCACTACCCCAGAGAGGTTTCAGAAGATGAAGCTCATCATGACATTATTCCTCGATAAAAAGACGCGCGATTTCTCCTCCCATCCAGCTTTGATGCAATTGACTGGGGAGGATCTGGAAATTCCGTTGGACGAATATCGGAACAACGCGCTACACTGGGCGGCGATGCTCGCTCGAATGCCTCTTGTCTATGCACTTGTTGAGAAAGGTGTTAGCATCTTTCGTTTGAACGGTGCAGGTGAAACGGCACTGCAAAAGTCTGTAGGAACGAGGAACAACCTCGATTATAGGAGTTTTCCGCGCTTGCTGCAGGTGCTGGCTCCAACTATTATA